GTCCTTGGTCTACTTGGTCTCCTCTGCTCTCTGACTCCTCTGCTCATGTTTTTTGCAAAGACCCCTCACATTACTTTTTCCAGTTTTCCAGTGCTCCCCTCCACAAACAATCTGAAACTTCACAGCGCTGAGGGCCAAACGTCACTGTTCAGCCACCCAAAGGAGGCAGGACAATGCACAGCTGTTCTTGAAAAGATTAAGGAAAGCAGAGGAGCCTTAGAACCTCCTGTTGATGAAGTACCAACAGAGAAACTCCTATTTCTCTAAGAGTTTCTTCTTCTCCTCTAGTAAAAGCAGCCATCCGCACCCTCTTTCCGAGGCTGAAGGCCCGCCAGGGCCCAGGCAGGTGGCTGCCCATGGTACCACACTGCCCACAGCAGCAAAGGAGCCTTTTGAGCCCATGCCTAGCCCTAGCCTTGCTGTCACACACAGCTACAGCAGAAATCTTGTTCTCCAATTGCCTTTGGAACACCGCCTACTTGTAGAAGCCCAAAAGAGCACAGAAGCTACCTGGGCTTGCATGCTAACTTCTCCTTCTCCTAAGGCTGCATTGAAGTTTAATCTCATTTGGACTGCATTGTGTGCACCAAAATAACAAACAGGTAGATCATCACGGTATTTGTTTTGCACATTTTGTAACTCAGTTGCCTCACACAATTCTCAGAAGTACAAGACTCAACAAAGAATTTGCTTGGGAAAAAAAAAGGTGAATCATGCTAGTTCTGCATAAACCTGTGCCAACAATACAAAACAACATACTTGAAAGCGTCTTCTGTTTTCAGTTTGTTACACATTGTCTTCAACATCTCAAACCCTTTGCCAGTGAATTACACACAAGATAGATGGACATAAGCTGCTGCTTGACATAAATAGCAGCAATCCCATTTATTGCTCACCTGGCTCTAATTGGGGCCCTGAAATACTTAAGAGGAGGCAGTGAAAAGATGAAAGACAAAACCAAGAAAGAATTGGTGTGCAGGAAAAAGCCAACCCTGGGTTTTTTACTGACCTCTAAGACCACATTTCTGCAACAGCACTGCACTGGTTCCCTCCTGTCACCACTGCCACCAGGGCAATCTTATCCCACCTGCTAAAACCTGGCCTTCACGACTGCCTACAGGCTACAGGCTCACACCGAGTCTTTCAGAGGGCCCTCAGTATTTCCAGTGTTACTGCTAGTCCTGCACTCCTCTCTAGCACTTCCAAAGGGTTGAGTGTGCTGTGCCAGACACCAGGGCAATTCTAGCCCAGCAGATGCAAGATGCACGTGATCATACCACTCACTGTCTCTCCCTGCTGCTTTCCCAGTTTCAGCCATGTTTTGAAAAGGCAGGAGTCTCCTAGATGCACACTTTCCAGACTGCCTAATGAGCACCAAAGCCCGGGAAACACCCAGTGTGCTGTGCAAAGGCAAAGTGGGGAGTGTGACCCGCCCATTCCTGGCACTGCCCCACCAGAGCACTCCTGAGTCTTACCTGAGTGAGGCACTGTGAGAGCTCTCTGGGCAAAGAAGGAAGGAAAAGAGCAAACATTTAGGAACTTGTATCAGAAATAAGTATAATATTCAAAGTGTTATTCTGTAAGTGACTCAATCCAGAAGTAATTAATATTAGTTTGCTTTGGACCCAGATGCACTAAAGTGCAATTAAATACTGTATGTTTTAACACTATAATGGTGTGGACAGACACAGTGAATAATTATTTCACATACATATGTGAGCACCATGACCACCGCCGGGGCAAAAACCTGAGTAACTGCACATCCAAGGAAGAGAAAATTGCAACAAAAGGTAAACCTAAGGGCCTGATGATAAGAAGGACATCCCCCATAAATATATTCAAGGATGAGTGGGAAGACAAGGAACAATATGAGCAGTATCAGCAATAGATGAGACCTCCCTCCCCTTTTGGGAAAGGGATAAGTAAAGGTGACAAAGGGACCATAAAATCGTGGAGCTTGAGCAGTACAGATGTTGCTGAATATCTGTATCTAGAAGTGTGCACCACAGCATGGCACTCTGCAAAGATTTTACAGATACAGGAAATGAACTGAATAATGTAAAGTTCAGTCCTCTAAAACTTTCACAGATAAAATATATCTCACATCTCTTCCCAACCCTCTTCAGAGATCAGTCTTTCATTCAAAACTAATACAAATCTGAACACAATGAAACCAAGTCATGAGGTACACTACAGCCATTTCCAAATTCCTGGGATGTGTAGATGTGTGCTTTATCTCACACTGCAGTGGAATCTCATGCCAAGTGCAACACATGTTGAAAAACATGAGGCTGATGCCTCTTCAGGCCTGACTGAGCTACCAAGTAAGATGGCAAGTAAGTTCTGCAAGCCATCTGCTTTTTCTGCTGAGAACAGAGAGAGTAAAAATGTTTACAGTTATTTGAAAAACTCCTGCCCTACTAGCAACATTCCACCAAAATGCAAACATACACATTCTAAGGCACAGTTTACTTACTTTGGCTAGAACACAGCTTTTATGGGGTATTTTGTTTATTGCAAGAGTTTCTAAGCTGAAAAAATAGCTGTACACAATTCCAAGTTGTTTGAATGCCTTGGTTTTACAGACTACAAATGGAAAGGAAATATAACCTCACTCCCACAGATATCTAAATAGTAACAATTTCCAATTATTTCCACAGACACAAATAGTGTGAAAAATAATCATCATTGCAGCATCACCATTAAGTAGAAGAAAAAAAAAAAAGAAGAAGAAGACTTCACATGTAACAGAACAAAAAATTAACGAAAGCAATGGTTTCAGTTTACTGGAGCAGAATCTATTATTTCCATGTCAAGCCCTTTTCTATTTCAAATTTCATACTACTCCTGGATCTATACAATTACCCTTACTGACAGAAGAATAATCTATACAAGCTGAAAGCATTGCTAGCCGAAAAACTGCAAAACTGATCGGTGCTCAACCCCATAGCTCACAGTACATATCCTTACCCCAAAATTTTTCTTAAGTGTAGTGTGAAGGTATCTAGATATCCTGGCATGGGTGAGAGGAAATTTAGGGCACGGCACACCAGCAGAGTTGCTGCAGGCTGTGCCCCAAGCAGTCCCCCTTGCAAGTCCCAGCACCCCACGTCAAGCTGCTCTGACACTGCTTTTTGGAGGCTGCCCAAAAATGCAACTCATATAGCGTCCCAGAAACTGCTCTGGCATCAAGACAGAGAGCCATGTAGCCAGGTTAAAAGTTTCCAGAGCCCTCTTTGTTACAGGATGCAAGATCTACATGTCTCAGCATGCATCAGCCCAATCCATTGGGAGGACGCTGGGACACAGGCAACAGTCAGACCAACGCTGGACTTGGGAGCATAAACACAATTGAGGCATATTATGCCCATTGAAATAAATAGAGCGTGTCTAAAGGCTTCTCCCAGCTGCATTCAGACTCACTCATGGCTGGCTCTTGGTTCAAAGTCAGCCAAGTTTGCACAGATGCCAAACAACTGCACCTTTCTTGATGCTGTCACAGCACTGGAGCACCAAGCTCAGAGGACTCTCTTCCTGGTGCTGGCCAGGGAAGGAGTGTATGGATGGAAAGAAGACATGCAGGCACAACAACATCCCCAGCCATCCCTGATCTCTCCCTTTGGCCAGTATCCTGTTGGAGAGCAGAGTCCAGCTCTGCCTGGCAACCACGCTTCCCTAAGGGTTACTCTACCCAGCTAGCACTGAAGTTCATGTACCATTAACAGTACTAAATCAGAGACACAGTTCTTGGGACAGGACTGGGACCACTGTAAAAGTATCAACTTCGCCAGTTTTCTGGGGTTTTTTCTGTTTAAAGAAGTATCTTCACGTCTACCTTTTAGGTTATGTGTTCTTCAAACTTTTGCTACAAACTAAAATACAGAAATGTTTCGTGCAAGTTGGTATGGAAAACAAACTTCATGAAGTTCAGGTTGAAATGCATATTAATCAATCTTATTTTCTTGAAATACACATCCTGTTTCAGCTACTCTGAATTCAGTGTAAGTGAAGATATTCTCACCCTAGCTGGCTTCACAAATATCCAATTTCTTCATGAATTCAAACAATCAAGGGTAAAACATAAACATACTTGCTTGATGCTTATTCACAATTTGTTTTTCAAAAATAAAACCAAGTACATTTATTCTAGAGTTAAAAAAACCAAACCACACCCTCCCCAAAAAAAATCAAAACAAAACAAGCAAACAAATGAAAAACAAACAACAAAAACAAAAAAACACCACACCAAGATCCTCCAGTGACTTCTGACCTGTTTTCAGGTCAGGTACATTAGTTAACATTAGTGCGGTAGATCAAAGTCACTATCACCAGAGAAACAAGGTCCATTTTTCCCATGCTGACAAAGAGACCAGAAGAGCACTACTATCTTTGGGCTTTTATCAGCTCATTCAACTTCTCCCTCTATCATTTCCACCAGCTTTATTTGATCTGAATTTGCAGGCCAAAAAGTCCTTACTGACTACTATAGGCAACCTGAGCAACATCTCTGCAATCTGCAGCACAGAGGCAAAGGTTCAAAAGGCCATTTTTGTTTAGGTTTTCTGATTGCCCTTAAAAGTTACATAGAAGACTTGAAAGGTCCCTGAGAACACAGAAAAGGACAGTAGGGGAAAAAAAAGTTCACAGCTATCCTATGATATTTAAAAGTTTTGCTCCAAAAAGAAGTAAATACTGAGACTGCATGCAAACTGTGTGTGTTCTCCAACACTCTTAAACTGCAACTTTTTTCCCTTTTATTCATGGCTTTTACTAGTACTTGCCATGGGAACATATGTTAGTTACAAATTTTCAAAAGTAAAACAACAAGAAAAATCTTTTAAATAAGGCAAGACAAGCTAACACCAAATGCTCTTTAGAAAAGCATCCTGTGTCAGCATGGGTGTAACACATGCTTGTACAAGACAAGTAATCCCATCTCACAGTTCTGTCCATCTTCAATTACCCAGCTTCTACAATGTAAGGGTATTTACAGATCTTACCGCAGTACAAAAGACGCAGCTGCATTCCTGAAGAGTGGTCATCTTATCCAGGGAATATTCACAGAGACATAGCTTGCACGTGAAGAGAGGCTCCAGAGCTAACTCTCCAGCTTCTGACTCATCAGCTGTCATGGTGTGAGGACAAGCCTTCTCAGCAGAGCCCATTCAGTCATTAATGGTGCAACTCAGCCTGAAAAGAGAAATCAGCAGCTGAAACTTCGTACAAGCCATGCAGTCACTTCCATTGCTTTGAAAAATTACATCTCAGATCCATAAAAGTACATGCACACCCAAATGTACTACTCAACATCTTGGAGCCAGTCTCAACTTCAGGCCATTCAAAATTTACAAAGAGAGCACACCTTCTCAAAAGACCTGAACTGGCTGGGTTCTCTGAGAACATCACCTTGCTGGTACAAAGCACCTCAGTCAGGCTGCTTAACACCAAAATAAAGAAAAAGCCAAATACAAAACAAAACTCACACAGATGGGGCATTTTATACATCACTTTGCCTTTTCAAATGAGTTTCAGACTCATACTTCTCCCACCCAAATGGGATCCTTCAGTCTTCTCTGCACCCACACAGTTCCAGTGAGTGTCTCCACTCCCACATTCTATTCCAGCTGGTGGCTTGGAAACTCCCCTAGGCAGTGCAAGATAAGACCAGATTCCCACTTTCTAGGCAAGCACTTCAAACATTTAGTCTGTAACATTGGTGATGGGTACCATGAACTCCATCTTCTCTGTCACTGAGACAGTGAGCTGGCACTCTATTGCAAGAGGGATGGTGAAGGCATCTAAATCCAGGAAAGGGCTTCAGCTTGCATGAGCTACTTCACACAGGGCTGGAGCTTAAAACCAAATGAGTAAGAGCATTTCAGGTACTCTTTTTTGCATTGCCTTAATGATACCAAAAAGCATCCCAGTTCCTGGCTTCCAGCTCTTCTATTTATTTCACAGACCTCTGAGGCATCTAACTGATGTTTGTGAACCAAGTGCACTAGCACTTTGACAGAGATGCTCACCAGAGCCATGTTTTCACTACACGTCACAGCAGTGCTTGGGGATGAAATTTCTCTTCCTTGATGAGCAGCAGATGGAAATGCCATGTCTGCATGTAATGCTTTCTGGCCTAAGCATTTGAAAACACTGCACCATAATCATAAAAAATCTCAAGACCCTCATTCTTAGACAGTAACACTGAAAAAGGAATTAAAGAGAATATCCTTGTGCTTAAGCTGAAGCAATGCAAAGCCTATTTGCAGATTTTACTACCTCAGCAGAGACAGTGAGGTTCACCACAGTATTTAAGGCACAGAAAAATCTATCCACACCTCTAAGAAACTTGGCCCAACTTCCACAGACCTCCTTCTGAATACACTTTGCTGATGGCAGGACAACCTTCACACATATTTTACAAGCAGAGACCTGATGGCCAGCTGTGCACAGCTGCTTGCAGCAGCACCAAGAGTGCAGCTCCACTAAATCTGAAGTGCTGCACCACAAATGAAGGCTGCATGAACATGAAACCAATCAAGACCTATCGATGTGCTTGTCAGATCTGACAGCTCATGAGGGAAACCAGAGACTTGAGCCCTTTGGTCCTCTTCTGCTGGCCTCCCCTGCACTCCTGAGCACCCTCTGGGCAGGGCTGTCAGGTCACATTTGGCAGCACGTTCCTGCTGCCATTCTGTGGCTGCCAGAGTGGCCAACGCAGCTGCAGACCATCAATGCATATGTGATGTACTGACTTGCAGTGCCTGCTGAATTGCTCCCTAGGGGAAGAATGATGGGGCTCTTGGAGTTTGTGGAACCTTTCCCTACGGCTCCCACCTCATAACCTTACTCACAGCTGAGCCCATCCCCAGGCCTGTCCCCAAAGCCTCATGCGCCCACTGCAGGAAGACACTTTATCTTCAAAAGCCACAAAACCACAATAAATCTAGGTCAGAGAACACTTATTCCTTTTTAATTTTTACACTTGGTAGTTTCCTAGACTATCCTGTCAGAGAGGCCATCAGATTTGTACCTGGAATGTCTTTCTTGTAAGCACACAATTTCAAGAGATATGAGCATCATGACCAAGATTCTGGCAACCAAACTCCTGACCACAAATCCAAAGCAAACTCTCTTTTTATGGCTTGCTATCACTAGTTCATAACATACACTACTCCCACATTATTCTTTTTGCAGTCCTGCGGCCTGCTACCCTGATGTCCCTCACAATTTGCTCCACACAGCTGCAGAGCTGGAGCTCCAGCATGGCCAGAAGCCTTAGAAGGAAGTCTCCCTCTGAGTCAGGAACTGCAACAATCTTCTGTAATTACTGCAGCGGGGTGGGGGGGAACACTGAGTCACTGGAAACGCTATGGCAGATCAAGAACTACCTGTTATTTAAACCTACGTGCTAGACGTTATCTCAGTATTTAGGAGAACTGTAACACATTTACTCAGGTTGCTTTTCAACAGCAGCTGCATCTGTACAGGTGAGCTACTCACCCTCACTCTGCAGTGATCTGAGATTTCTTCATTTAGACAGTAAAAGGCAGCAATGCTAAAAGAAGAGCTGCACAAAAGAACAGGTAGGAATGTTTCAAGATGAGGGAATGGATATAAAATGGATACAGCTGTTTCAAAAGTCAGTGTTCTTCTTATAACTAAAAGGGTTATGACCCTGCATGCAGGCAGCATTAGGGCAGCTGTAGGAAGATTCAGGTGTATGATTGAGGTTTAGGGCTAGAGGCTAATTTTAGATGGCCTAAATGCAGCACTCAGCGTGACAGTGAAGAGCAGGCTCCTGACACACTGCTCTGTGCTAGTAGCAACCTAATGCCACAGTGTGATGACTGTAGGGACTCATTATGATATCCCATTGTCATTGATGATAACAGTTGTCCCTGAAGACTGCAGGTTAAATTCAGTTCTGCTCCCTGTCCCTGCACACATTTACCCTTCCCTCACACTAAGATGCCAGAGCACAGCTGAGGTTCTCCCTAAAACAGGCAGGAGTCCCTGTGGAAAACTCTAGCAGACAGCACCAAGCAAGCCTGACACGTTAGAGGATCCACCCCCAGCCAGCCCAGGCTGGCTCACTCACTTGCAGCCCCATTAACTCCATCGGAGTTCATCAAACAAAGCTAACAGCATCGGAGAACACGGAGACAGCTCCGCGTCCTGCCTGCTCAGCCCTTGAAGGAAACACTGTGGCTACCAGGAAGAGCACTCCTCCCATGGTCCCTGAGAGGTCAGCTTGTCCACAAGCAGCTCTCTGGTCAGGTTGGCACAGGCAAGGCCATCCTGCTAGCACTAAACACCTGCCTGTCAAAGGGAGAGCAGGCACGTGGCCTTTTCCCAGAGCAACCCAGCCCACTGGTCCTTCCATCTGCCCATTAGAACTGGGACTTCTGCTACTGCTACCAAGGGACACACGCTAGGGGAAGAGCTCAGGGTAACAGAGAAGGGTAGCCCCATTCAGCAGTAGCTGCGCTCTGGACCTCCCCTACAGAACTGATCTCGTTCTCATCATCATCAGATCAGATGGCAATAACAATATCTTCCTCCAGTTCCCAGCCACTACTCTTCCCGTTCTTCCCCAACAGTTCAAAATGCGTTGTCCTCCCTCAAGATCTTCAACTATCTCCTCAACCTTATCAGCCTAGCAGAACTGACTTTTCCAGGTGCATCAGGGAAGCCATGAAGTTCCACCTCAGCTGCTCTGAATTTTTATGGCTTTCACTTTGCTACACTTATCCCACAGACGGTCATTGTTTAATTACACATCCATCAGTCCTCTTTACAGAGGATTAAAATTCCTATTATAATTACAAGTGAGTTGCCAATAGATTAGATTGAAAATTAAGCATCTTGGGTGTATGTGTTGTGCACAGGACAAGGGAGTCACTGAAGAACAATTAAGGAGCAAAAAGTAAAACACAATTCCATATTTAGTTATATGAAAAAAAGTGATCAGAAATTAAAGTAAATGGAAACTTTCTGAAAAATAATGGACACTCATATAAATACAACACACAGTTAAACATTAAAAGCTTCCCTTGCATGCTTACAAACACAAATGACCTGTTCAGGAAAGCATCCCAAACAAAGCAAGAAATGCGTCATTGAAACTGTAGTGCAGCACCTCAACTCCGCAAAAAAAAACCTCCACTGAACAGCAGCACGGGCTCCATGAGACGTTGTGGAATACTGATAAACACTTCTTGAGGGCATTCTAATCCAGAGAAATGTACTGGTCTGAATCCCGCACCAACATGAATCATGGCAAGGAAGGGTCAAATCACGGCAAGGAATGCGTAAACACTCAGGAACTCGGAAGATCCATTTTTTTTGTCTACTTCTATCAGCCACGTACACACACGCAGATCATTCTCCTTTAACACTGCACAGGATTTCCAGGAAATTGGACATCTTTCCTCAAATTGTATGCTGCTCAGCTCATAAGAACACTCATACTTCCCTGGCTGTGACCCTGATGGTGCTGATGCCACAGGATGAGGCAGGACCACAAAGTCTGAACAAATGCGAGCGAGCTGGGGAGGGTCAGCCCTGTGGGCTGTAAACTGCACAGTCACCAGGACCAGAGCTCGCCAAGCACTCAGACCTGTCTACGTTTCCGTTCCACTCATCTGCCTGCGGACACTTTCGCTTTGTCTCTGGGAGGTGACAAAGCTGTGTGCTTTCTTGTAGCTCTGGAACATCTCAACGCTGCCCGTTAGCAAGAAAACATTAGAGTGTGCTCAAAGCAGAAAGGACTGAGAAGGGTAAGTACGAGCAGAAACTCTAACAGAAAGCATGGAGATTTTAAGTGAAATAAAAAAACAGAAGAAAAGCACTGGAAGAAGGAATGAAGAACTTGTTTGCCTTCAGAGTCTCCTGACACTAGAGTGTCTGATGTCTAACCTTGAAAATTACTTCCTACCAGCAAATATCTGTACTACCTGCTTCTAGACAGGTACCCATTGCAAATCCTGGCATTAGGATCCCAAAGTGGAAACTACTAACTCCCTGTGATGGGGGTGAGAGAGCAGCTGGGTGGGTGTCTGGGAGACAGTCAAGGCCAAGCCACCCCAGCTCCACAGAGGTATCAAAAATCGATGCAACCTACTGCTGAAATTTTCCCTGTAAGCAGGAATTTTAAGGTAACATCTTTGTTACAGTCACACAAAGGCTCACTTGAGCCTGCCCAGCTTCCTCAAACCATGACTACTACTGAAGAACAGAAGTTACTCTATAGATGCAATAAAGAAAACAAGGCAGGCAGTCTCCGGAGCCGCAACAATAGGACATTGCCTGCAACCAAGTCACTGTATTTAGCTAAAAAAAAATGTGTCTGAATGTGACTTTCACCACTTAGAAACATCACAGAGAATTCATTAAAGCATCTTGCACTGAAGCTGGAGGAGAATCAATAGAGTCAGTTCAGCACCACAAGTTATGCTTTCATTTTTCACATGTTGCATCCAAACACGGCTCTTGGAGAAGCTAATTCAAGTCCTGTGCTTACAAACAATTCTGCTGAAGTTAGTAAAGCTGTATGCTTTTGCCTGCAATTAGAAGGAAGCCAAGAAATGCACCAGTATGAGACCCATTGCTCCCAGAGACATTAATGGAACAAAAAGGGTCCTTAATGAGTTTTCCCCTATGGGTGCAAGGATACACGTGGGTCTAACACCTAGCACAGCACTTCCCTCTTTTACAAAAAAAAAAAAAAAAAAAAAATCTAGCATCAAAACAAACTCACAGCATGTGTGCTACACTCCTATTTAGTGTACTAGCTATTTACTAAACTCTCTTGGAGGCACATTTGCAAGCACTGCAAGTAATTCTTTCTCATGCCCTAGAGATTTTTCAAGTAATCCACCCATTATGAAATTCCTTCGGTGCCATACAAAAACCTGGTTTGACATTGTTCACTCAGGATTCTGTTGTTCTGTTGCTTCCTGTAACTAAGGCTCCAGACTCCCTCCTTAAAAAGTAAAATAGAAAAAGAAAACTAACTTAAAAACATGAGTGTTCAAAACCAACGCTAAAAATCAGGTCCTTGGAGAAAAAGAGCAATTAAAGAAAGATTTTAAAAATGTAACAGAGCGGTATTAAGATAATGGGGTCAAATTACAAGACAAACTGAGCTGTGACATTAGGACTTGTGAAGACAGCTGTCAGAAACCCACATTTCTATCAATTTCAGTGAAATGCCATCATTAGCAGTTTTAGTTACAAGTCCTTAGCTGTCCAAGCTCTCTCAAGACAATGTCATTCAAAATTCATTACTAAGACAGGTTTTTTAAACTCAGCATCTCTGCTCAGAGGGTTATTTTGAGTCACGTGCACTAGAGCTTCTGTGGTCTACACATAGACCACTAACCCACAGTGCATTAATTTCTCTTTATGATATGCACTGCCTACACAGAGCTTCCTATCCAGTCCATACAGCATTACTTATCACGCAGTGATCCATTTAGGCTGTAAAACATATGATTAAAGCCACAATTTTAAAAAGCCTTCATCTTCAAGAATGACATTTAATCATATGTTTAAGTGCTCCTGTGTATCAAAGCCTGAATGTTCTGCTTTATTTAAATGAGGTTATTAAGAAGTTAAACAAGTACTTAGATTTTCTGAAATCATGCTCTCAAAAAAAGCAACCAGATCCACAAATAGAAGATCTCATTTTAAATACATTTTTAATATATTCAGAATTATTGTATTACATCTGAGCCTTAAAACAGCAAGTAGTTGATTACATGCGTGTACAAGGAGAACCCATTTCTGGATTACCATAATATGCTACCAAGCTGAAGCATTAGAGAGACTAAAAGCATTTCAATATCTGTTTTCTTTGAACAAGGCTTAAGAAAAGTCAGAGGTATAATATTTCATGACAGCTTTCTTCTAGTAAAAATTTTATTGTCAGAAAACTTGTTTAAAGGACAAGCAGCCTAAGTAAATGTGCTGATATATGAGAACACACCAAAGGCAATTTCTCTCACTTGTTTTCATTGGAATGCCTGGGAAAAAAACTCCAAAACCTTGAGTTGCTGTTCAAGAAGCAGTAGTTATATGCAGTATTTTCATATCATGCTAGCAAGCAAACAATAAATATATCAAATACTTTTAAAGGAATGCAGTGGACTGACTGTAGTCATTCAGAATATGATCCAGATTTCTGCCAGGAATTTTTATACCAGCAATTTAGGATATTTAAAATACACATTGAATAGCTTCCCAAATATCACATGCACCCAATCATTCCAAAACATTCTAATAAACCAAAACACCACTAGAACACATATATATCAGTCTCCACAAGGCTTTGAGAATACATTTGTAGGATAATTTCTCTACTGTACTGTAATACTGTGAGGTATGAATAACTTTGAAAATTTAGAACACCAGTTCTTCACAGCAACTTCCTGTGACCCTATGTCTATATGTCCTCAGGGAAGTGAGGTTTTCTGCAAGAAGGCCATGGATATTAAGTGAATATAGCAGAATTTTTTCTTTTTCTGAAACAGAAATTGTGGTAATACTTTATAGATTTCCTTGCCATACTGCTTGAGAACAGACAAGAGGGGAAAAAGTGGGGGTTTCCCCCTTCCACTCCTAAAGAGCAGGAGAGTTCAAGAACAGGGAATCTATAAGATAATGGTGAAATAAATGCTGCAACTCACAGCTGAAGGGAGCTAGGAAAAGTACTTTTGGATCACTTAAAGATAAAAACATGTCAACTAAAAGAGAAATAACTTAGCCTGTTATTAAACAAATGCACAATCAAAGCATGATATTTGACTCTTTCCAATACTGACAGGAGCCACACCATGGCAATTCTTATGGAGTCCATGAGGATGGGAGCAAGCCATTCTGCATGGGATGAGGTCAGACCATACTGCAGAAGCCACCACTTTCACTCAGTTCTGTGCCTGAAACTAGCACGAATCAACGTGCAGGACACAGCTCTACCAACACTGGCAGGCTGGAGAGCTTCCTGCACCAGATCTACTGGATATGAGTGCTGGGCAGGCCTGTGGGTTTCCATCTCGGGGTGACCCAGATGTATCAGGCTTACTGGGCTGAGCAGTGGGATGGTGCTGGCCCCAGGCACAGGCTTATGGTGACCTCCTGGTCCTGAAGGACGTCAACAGCAGGATTCTCCTCAGGTTTTATGTTCATCCTGCCCACAGTGCTCAGCAAAGTTGATCAGCACAAAATGCAGTGAAATAAAATGCAGTCAGACAAGAAAACTAAGAGTGTTTTGGTATCAAACATTTCCAAATATTTCCAAAACATATTCAAACAACAAAATTATACGAAGTGAAATTCCAAGTACTGGTTACCAGGTCTGAGATTAAAATCTAAAGCTTTTCTAAATAACATCCTCTGTTCTTAATGACACTATGCAACATATGTTAATGCTAAGCTACAAGGAATTTCCACCCAAACTAGTTTGGTGTACTTTACTTTTAACATCCTGTTGACAAGAGGTAATATACCACTATTAAATAAAAACACATTCTTCAAAGTGACAAATGATAGATCTTTCTTTCAGACCACATGAAGGCTTTTGGTAACTGTGGCATTTACTAAGTAAAAGGAACTGACCTTTTGGGAGGTCAAATGGGTTGATAACTTGGCTAGCTGTCTCTGCTGAAACAGGAATAGAAAGTCAGATGTAACAATTTGCCTTTGACACAGAAAAAAATGTTTATTTTTGTTAATCAGATAACAAAACCTTGGTTTTATGCTAAATCCCTGAGCTGGAATGTTTACAGTTTAGATAGGATGTGTTCAGAAGACATTTGCAACATTGGCCTGTTCTAACATAAAGGATTTTTAGGAAATACTTGTAAACAGACATTGTTAAAGTGAAAGCAGTGGAAAACAGAATGTACAGAAAGCCATCTATTGAAAAAAAATTAACATGTGTTTATTTTTGGAAGGGGTGATCTGAGAACTTTTCTTTCAGTGCCTGCAATAAGATGACACCTTTAACATTTGTCATGTAGTTTTGTTAAGCCACAGAAAGTGCAAACTTGCAAGAATATGGTTCTATCGACTTATTCACTGCAAGCATTGAAAAGCACTTCTAACAATTTTAGATTTACATCAACAAAAATAACAGAATAAGTTGATTTTATAAGTTGATTTTCCTCCTATGATTTTTGTGTGACTGCTCAGTGAACAAAACTAATACATATAATATTTTAATCTGCCCCTATCTAATCTTACAGCCAAATACACTGCTCATTACTATACAGTAAATATATTATTTGAGGTAATCAAAATAAAATAATTAAAACATTTAAAACTGCCCTTGCTCCAAATGTATCTCAATGACTTAGAAAGCTTACCCAGCAGTAACTTTCAAGTCTTAGCTACAAGGGCAGTCAGTGAATTAAAGACTGGGAGTCAAATCTGAGGATTACACCTTGGGGAAGTCACTATCTCTAACATAAGCCTTTGCCATTAAGAAAACAACATGAATAGCTACTGACTGTGCTGAAATTTGGCAAGAAACAATAGTAGAGGTTTGGACCCAGACATGAGGCGGTTTTGAAACGAAACACATTTACTGAAGTAACTATCAGGACTGCTTTTCCTGACTGGTAGTTAAACTAGTCGGAGTGCATCCCTAAGCCACTCCTCTGACAGCTCCTCAACAAGTCCTTCCAAAGGCAACTCGAGATGAGGAAAAGACAAGTTCCAACTTGTCTACGGCGAGATAGGCAGAGGCAAAAAAGTAGAAGTAAACACCAGTAACAGTCCCCTGACTTAGCATCTCTCTCCTTGTACTCTGAGTACTCACATTTCATCTCCCTCTTTCCCAGCCCAGCATTCTGGGAGAGAGGTCCTGGGAGGAATTCTGCTGCAGGCAATTCCTTCCATATTGCCTACTGCTCCAGTGTGGAGGAGCCCCACATTGAATTTGGAGCACCTCTAACTTCTGATAGGCCTCACATACATGCTGCTGAACAGAAGATACAAACTATGCTGGAATAGCAAAAATAAGTAGTCTTATACTCTTGACTAACTTTAACAGACATGTATTTTTAAAACAACTGTATATTCCCATTTTTAGAAATAAACACTTCTAACACACATTATCTATTTTGCTCTGCATTTTATTAACAGTGTAAGACAAATACAGCATTTGCTTAAACCTGAGAAAAACGCTGTTTGGCTGATGACACTGTCTATCACACAAGACAATGTTGTCTCATTGCTGCCCTGCCCTCTCCCACCCTATTTTCCACATTCCCCTTCTGTCTCTGTGTTTCAGGCTCCAAGCATTCACAAGACTTTTGCCTGTACTGTGCCAAGCACAGAGAACACAGTTAGTTTCTCAGGGGCTCTATGCAACTACTTAGAAATCCAGATGTTAGTACAAGAAATGTAATAAACCAGAAGGGTCCATCAAATGCAGTAAGAGGTTTGCATTCATCACTCCCTCACTTCTACTCCAAATTTCAACACTCATTACAGAAATAATTACAAGGGAGAACAGCAACCTGTAAACATATGATATTTCAGCCTCAAGTGCCTCAGTCTCTGCTAACAGCTGGCTAGTCTCTTCACGATCTTAGCCATGCAGTCCAAGTCCTGCCAAGGAGTGTTTCCAAAGGAATTCTTTTCAATGGACCTGTGCATTATGTGCACAAAGATAAGCAACTGGGAGCTTATCTTTGACAGAACCTGCCCCACCTCCCAAACTCTCAGAAAAATGACTAAGTAGGACTGAAAACTCAAAGACTTGTTACATTATAGGATTACAGTCTTACAGAAACCTTTCTAGAAACTTTCTGCTGGCTGGTCTTTTAATTATGACCGTGACAACTAATGCCCATAGGCAAAACAGGCTTTTTGGCCTCATTGTCGTGGAATTGGGAGAAAAGACAAGAATTCCTGACTTTCTTCTATTCTTCACAAGTGTATGTTTCCTTGATTTGTTAGTCCATCCTCCCAAAATGTGATAAGCAATGTTAACAAGGGGGCTGAAATTGCTCAAGCCATGCACATTGCTTGGGTATTTGCAACAAAAAATTTGACCAATCCTAAAAATACATGTCCTCATAGTAGTATTGTCTAAATTATGTACATGTATGTGGCTTCTACTTCACTCCTGCCAAAGGGCATGATTGCCTTTCCCACAGATTTTCTGTGGCAACTGTGATGAAGAGTCCTCACCACTGAAACCATCAGGGCAACAGTGGAGAGAGGTCAAGAGGGTGCAAGATTGCATCTTCTCCATTATGCAAAATTTCAGCAAGCAAGTTGTTGCTGGCCCTGTGGATGTTATCTTAGCCCTAAAATGGGTAAACCCCATGGGGAAGAGTTCCAGTATCAGTGGTTGGCAGAGCGCCCACTGCTGTGGAAAATGTTCCAGTGACTGCAATGGTAAACAGCCCACAGGATCAGCTCCATTTCCCCAATGACTACAGCTTTGAAACCCTCTTTTTTTGAAGGGGGGGAAGACTGGCTTGTTTTCCTTCATCATCTCCCCACCTCCATCAGAATGCTTCAAAAATTAATCACAGGCAGAACATATGAACTCTCCTACCTCCTGCTCAGACATAACCAGTGCCAGCCTGTGTGTCACTGCTTCTACTTAATTCTGGAATTTTCTTTGCATGCAAGGGATTAGCCTGGATGCTAGTTGTCATGAAATGTGTTTTGCCTTCTATGTACATAGGGATTTAGAGCGTGCAATTTTGAACTATTTGCAGCTATATATACACATGTGCAAATAAATCTCCCCCATGCCACAGCAACATACAGTACATAAGAGCGTAAGCAGAGGTAGCCTCGAAGGAATCGTTTCAGTCCCCAAAAACAGATACGGCTCTTCTGTTCCCATGATTTTTCCTTTTTTCAAATATATAGAACATATAAATGTTTTCAGATCTGCAAGTTTCGTTCCTGTCTATCTGAAATTCAACAGTTTGTATAACCAGACCTGAATATAATCATAGCCTCTGTCAGATACCCAGACAATGTCCACTCCTTCAGTAATGACTCACATCTTATACTTTCCATCCTCTCCTCATTTTTACAACAAAGCAAAAGGCAGAAAAGCTTGCAACAGACAGAAATATACTGACAGTCTCAATTAAAGGGCAGAAGCATGAACATGACAGTAAAATGGTAATTTTTCCTTCTAATAAAAAGTGATTCAGTATTCTGTCTCCTAACCAGCATCTGGACAAACTAGAGAAGTGGGTGCATAAGAACTAAATGGTTCAGCAAGGCCAAGTGCAAAGTGATACACCTGGGTCAGGGCAATCCCAGACATGGGTACAGAATGTGAGAAGAACTCATTGAGAGCTTCTCTGCCAAAAAGACTTGGCGGTGCTCGTGGATGAAAACTTGGACTTGAGTCAACAGCATCAGTGCTTGCAGTCCAAAATGCCAACCACACCCTCAACTGCACCAAAAGCAAAGCAGAGAGGAGATCAAGGGAGGAGGATTCTGCCCCTCTACTCTGCTGAGACACCACATGGAATTCTGAATCCAGCCCTGTGGTCCTCAGCACAGGAAGCACATGGCCCTGTTTAGAGCACGTCTAGAAAAGGGCAACAAAGATGATCAGAGGGCTGGAACAACTCTCCTCCAAAGACAGGCTGAGAAAGCTGGGATTGTTCTGCCTGGAGAGGGAAAGGCTCCAGGAACACATCAGTGTGGCATTCCAGTAGCTAAAGGGGGTCTATAAAAAAAGAAAAAGTTATTTTTACACAGGGAGATGATGACTGAACAAGTGGAATGGTTTTAAACTAGAAGAGGGGAGATTTACATTAGGTGTTAGGAATAAATTCTTTCCTCAGAGGGGTAGTGAGACACTGGAACAGACTGCCTGGAGAATCTGTGGATGTCTCATCCTTGGAAGGTGAGGTTGGATAGCACTATGAACAACCTGGTCTAGTGGAAGGTGTCCCTGCCCATGGCAGGTAGGCTGGAACTAGATGGTCTTCAAGGGCCCTTTCAACCCAAGCCATTCCATGATTCTATGCTCTCTTGTCTCTCCTTGCAACAAAAAGCATTTATAACAAGTACCCCTGATGACAGTGTCTACAACAAGCTCAGGAAATACACAGGAAGAAACTCCATGCAGGGAATTTTTTCTAGTGTGCATGGATCCAAAAGACAGATTCATGTGTACCAAATCATTGTGCTTGGTTCTGGCTGGCATTGGGACTCCAGAGATATTGACTCACTCAGAAGGAGCAAGGATGCTAAATTAGCCCAAGCTCCACCAAAACTGGAACTGTGCTTGCAGGAACCAAGGAAAGTCAAAGCAGAAGGTAAACTGGTGACCTTTCTAACTACATATTATGGGTTTTCTCTTGCAGGCTGAGCAGGTTCTCAGAAAAATATAGGAAAAAACCACACAGATGTTGGGCAACTAATGACCTTTTTTCATTATTATAATAGAATAAAAGAAACCAAAAATGAGAAACACATATGTCATTGTACGCAAGTACCAATACATACAAAGAGATCTAGTGAACTCCAAAAACACAGTTTGTTTTTTTTTTTTTACATAGCTGCATTTTTTTTAATTTGAAAGCATGTTTGCAATGCAGCTCTGGAGCCTAAAAATTCCTACTTGGCACCTCTGTTCCTCCTGGAAGACTAGGAGTTGGAAAAGTTCTACTTCAGCAGGAAGGGAAGGATAAGGACCTTTGTAATTTGAGATACTTTTTTTTTTTTTTAGTGTTTTAGTATCTCCTAGCAGTGACCTACTTTATGAATGTAAAGCCCACTCAGTTCCCACTGAACTGAAACCATTTAGAAGAGACACAGAACGATTACTGAACACTATTTTCTTACTGATCAGCACAAAGTTATTTGGCACAAGCATCTCTGTAAATGTTTGTGCAAGACTAGGTAAATTTGCAGTGTATGATGGCCCTCAGACCTGTGTTTCTGTCAAGTGAGAAGGCTCATAGTCTAGCACTGCAGCTCAGCTATGCTTCAGCAGAAATACAGAATGCTAGAGGCTGAGCTTAAAATCATTGCTGTCTTTCCCTTTGAGTCTGTTCTTTCTTGTTTTGTTCAATGTTTCCCTTTGCAAACCAAAAGAAGATTAGTTTTCAAATGGAATTATTGTAAGGGCAAAGAAGACAATTTGTGAAGTGCATTATACTGGGCTCTGTTTTGGCATGGAGAAACCAGAGGAAGAGGAGGGAATGTACTCAGCTCTGGGCAAGTACCAGAGGAAAAGCACAGCTCCAGAATCACTTTCAGCCTCATGAAGCTGAAGGCAAAGTCTGATTTAGGATATGCAAGGAGGTCTGATGGCCTCGGCTCACAGTGACACTGGCAGCCTGCCACAGTATTCTGTTCACGTGTGCCTGAGATATCCATGGGCCCAGAGCTGTAATTATGGTCTCAGATATCACAGTACTACTAGCCCAGGAGATATTTATGGATCTGATCCGTACAACCTATAGGCACTGTGAAGTTTCAGGCACATTCAAGAAAACTCCCCACTCCAGAAGAGGGACAGCAAGTCTGTAGCAGCTCTTTCAAGCTACATCAAAGCAACACACTCCACTAGGTCTCACCACTGAAAGGTCTGAACAGGGTTAACTGCAGGCACAGGGCTCAGGCTCACACCACACAGGATAGCAGAGGCATACTAATGAGCTGTGAACCAGGTTAAGCATTAGCACTGCTTGTTTCCCTATGGAGTGGCTTGCTGATTCTCACAGTTGCATTTTAAGCTCACAATAATAATATGGACAAGCACATACTTTCCTCTGCGAAAAGGTAAAGGCCAGACAACTACTTCCATGCTATTTATTTCTAGAAAGCTTATGAAGTATTTAGAGAATAGAGTGCAATCCAAGAACCTAGCTAGAGAGAAAAAAGCTCCCTTTTGTTTGCTATTTATATTGCTAACTTTTGCCCCAAGGGATACTATCACACAAACAGAATCACCAAAATGTCACATCTGCGGGAAAGAAGCCCACAACCACCAACGAGGTGCATGCAGAATATACCTCAGCATGGGGAGCAGAAACTATTGCAGGTTGCAAAATGCTAGTTCCACGTGAAGCCTAGGGAGGCTTCTGTGTCCTTGTGTGAGCAGACAGGACTTAGTGTGAAATATCCCCATCAGACAGTAAGATGCATGGGATAAAAGGAGCCTGATTCTCATCACACTTACTTGGCCCTGGAGTAGCTCTGGTTTAGTGTGAAAGAATACCTCCACTTTACTACAGCTTTAGACTCTCTGCAAACACACACTTCTCACATCCATAATCTAAAGCATTACTTTCAGCAGCATAACTGCAGCCATGCAGCCTCATCAATGTGCAGTATTTTCTCCAAAATAGCTTATGTTCATTGATAGAGGGGTTTCAGTCACTTTCATGCTAAAGCAACAACTCTGACACCCACTCACATTCAGGCACAGACAAGTCCTATACAAGACAAGCATCAGGAAAATTTGCTTGTTTTGAAAAATATTTAAGAACAGGATTTTGAAACTTCTATTTCCGTAAATATTGGAATCCCAAACCCAGTGCCTGCCCTTAACCGAGACCACTTGCCCTTCAGGCTGAGGGCAGCCAAACGTATCAGATTGCTCTGCCTGCTCCCAGGCAGTTGGAAAGCTGCATGGGGGTATTTCAGTGACAGCCTGTATCTCTGCTAAAATTTACTTCTTTGAAGCATTTGGTGTCTATTGACCAAGAGGATTCAAAGCCACCCTGCAATGCTTTCTCTACTATGGTAATTCTAAATATTTTCCAACTTACAGTGCTCTCTGAAGGAAGACATTTGATATTGCTGTATGCAGTTAAGAAGCAGAGTGCTTTCGTATTACAGAAAATACAGAGCTTTAAAATAAATTAAGACTGTAATATCTTCATTACTAAAGCTGCTTTGCACTGAGAAAGCCTTATGATGAGAAAGCAGTGCAAACATTCCAGTAAATGCAGTTGTCTATTCTCAGCATCAAAAAAAAAAATTTAAATGCAAACTAGAAAACTAAAGTATGCTATATTTTGTATGTGCTTACATAAACAACATAACCCTAAACCCTGATCAGATTAGAAGTGTACATTAACACGGATTAGAAGTTAACACATGTACAATACAGATGAACGTTTTTTCCTTCCTGATACCAGCTGCATGAAACTGTAGCAGAAGAAATGCCTTTAAACCAGGAGGAAGTATCAGCATTTTAAACTCAGGCTTCCACCAGCTTAATCAGGTATTTTTTCAGTATGAAAGAAGTTCTTCTATTTATACTAAAACATATGCCATTTTAGCAACAGCCTTTCACACAAATATATCCTAATTCTGCAGCATTTTTAAACACTTCACACAGATATTTCTCCAAAAGTTACACTGACAAAAGTCATTTCACCCTTTTGGGAAGTACTTGACGTCTATTTATTTTCAGCCTTTTAACAGTCAGGACATCAAGCTCTCCTTCTGCCTCATCTCTAAATGCTACATAGTTTGATTTTAGCCAAACCACAAATAACATTTATTTTAGCTATTTAATCATTCTAGACCTTACCTTAAAAAAAAAAAAAAAAAAAAAAAAGGCAAGCCTTTTCCACTTTCTTCCATTAGAAGCAAATGCTGGCTTTCTGTTCTTTGAGGGTATCCTCTGACAGAAAGCTGTATTCCAACATACCTTGAAGGGAGAGCAGCGCTCACTGCCGGCTGTGTGACTTTTCAGGGGCTGCACAGGAGCCGGGCATTCCAAGAGCCGCGGTGTCACAGAGCCCCGGAGCTCGCTGGCTCCCACACGCCCGTCCTCGTCCCTGGCTGTCTGACAGCCGAACACTTTTTAGGGCTGTAGCAGGGCTCGTCTCCCAGCCCCTGTGCCTCTCCGAGAAATCATCCCCTCCCTGCTATTAAGTGCACGCTGCCATGATATCCTACACGCGCGTCACAGCCCGCATGCAGCGGCTGTGGGAAAGCTGCATTTATTTGTACAGGAAGCTTGAGCACAGCACTTCCTACTTCCCATCCGAGACTCAATTCAGCCGCAGGTGATTCCTGACAGCCGGGCAGCTCCCAGCCAAGGCACACCCTCCCCTTCTGCTGTGGGTCTCAGTGCAGCTTCCGAGCACGGCTCCCATCCGAGCCCCGACCGGGGAAAGCTGAGAGCAGCGAGGCTGTAGATGTGACACTCATCAAAGCCCTCCCAAATTAACCTGCCTGGGGAGAGCAGTTTGCATAGCAGCTGATGTCTGAAACCTCGCTGGCTTCTGCTTGTGAAAAAAAGTCATCTAAAAAAAAACAAACAAAAAAAAAACCTGATGTCTTCACGTTGGAGGGGAAGTGAGCAAAAATCTAAACTCAAAAGTAAAGTACCCGTGCAATTTCAGATCTGAGTGTTTAATGATGATGGTGTTCGTCTCATTCTGTCAATACTAAAATTTCACTCTTTAAGCTGTCCCTGTGTGCAAGAGGGGTTGGGAATCCTGCAGTTCCGTATTCCAGACCTAAGGGTGTGATTCACATCAGCCAAGTAGCAGGAGAATATCTAATTGTGCCACATGACACCAAACCCTCAAGAACTTTTCCTGCTGTAGGAAATGCACCACACCCACAGATAAGAAATATAGATATATCAGAGTGCAGAGAGTGCAGAAAAACAGAAGGAAGTATAAATGTTAATCTGCAATTTTCTTATGATGAAATAAATTTACTTTGTACTTCATGCAATCATTGCTGGCATTTTGCCTTCAGTACTTTCCTGTGAAAAATTATATATAGGCATTTCTTCCGGGATGTATAAAAGCTCACAGCTGAGCTTTTAGTTATTTTCAGACAATTATACTGCATCAGATTAATTTAAGAAAAAAAAAAAAGCTTGTGCAACTTTAATTCATCCTCCTTGCTGAATTATTCCTTTATATTACAGCTTTGCTTGAATTACCATCATATACTCTTTTCCTCTCAGAATAAGTAAAAACTTAGAATTTATCTATTTAACCCTGGGTGTTATAAATAATGTTAGATATAGTTATATATGTATAATTTATATAATTTATATATACCAATTTTTTATATTTACGTATTATTTATATATATTTAGGGAGGGAGGAGATAATAACCAGAAAAAATATAGCTGTTCCAACATGTGGGATCTTGTTGATCCTTATGGTGTTCATCAACATGGTTACAACAGGATTAGGCAAACTAGGGCCACGTCACATTTACTGCCACTTGAGCTAGCAGAGCATTCCCCAGCAGAAGTAGACATACATATTCTCAGCAGTGGCCAGTCCTAGAGAAGACTCAAGAAACACTGAAGGCTCAGAGCTATTTTTTAGGCTCTAGAGCAATACGGAAAACATGGAATACTTTGGAAAACTTTATGAGTAAAAAACAATTCTCGTTCTCTGGTCAGATTTTTATCCTTCTTGTTCTGTTCTAGTATGAAATAGCTTGAGCCTCTATCACTACTCTCTTCACTACCTTCCCTCTGCTTCCAGCTCCTATATTTTCCTCCTGCAGCTGCCCCCTTTGCTACTCTGCCTCTGTCACACAAGTACTTGATAGGCCACAGATGAAGCTCAGCAGGAAAACTCTCCCTGTGCTCAGCCCCTGTGCTCAGCACCACAGCACGTGAACAGCAAAAGGCAATTATCTCAAGGAGGACAGTGGTGAGAGAGGGAGGATGAAGGAAATCATGTCATTCATGCAGGTGGGAAAAATAGTAGGGCAGTAAGTTCAGAAGCAGAGCAGGGCAGCTGCCAACAGCAGAGTAGCAAAAGTAGCATCTGGTTTGGTACTTACTCCTTGCTGGCACAACAAAACAAAAACAAGCTTCACTGAAGTAGCCTCCACCAGTGAAGAGACAGAACTACAACAAAGATTACCTATCTTCCCTTCAGGTATGATGAGGCCAGCTTGTATCTGGGGGGCATGTTCTTTTAAACTATAAAAACTAGATTTAGTACATTAAAATGCACAAAAATTCTGGAAACTTCAGCTACAAACATCCCATCGTATTTTTATCCCATTTCCTACTACCTCCATGCAAGTTATAATGTGATTGCATAAACGTGCAAAACTGCTTACAACAAAATTATTTCCTTTAGCCATCAAAAAATTGGTGAGAAAAATAATGCTTCTCAAGAAATTTAATTAACTGGAAATGTTAAGATATGCTTGTTTCAAAAACTCTGCTTTTTGGGTATCAAATCCTAAACTGTGGGGCCCGGATTTACAGGCCAGACAATCACTTACTGATGCTCTGTGGACAGCTGGCTATGCCTCTGCTTCCATCTTCTCTTCAGTATTTGCCCCTACTTTTGTGCTTCTCCAGGATCTCCACAGCAAAGGGGAGCTGAAGGTGATGTGGCACTGTGCAGGAGCTCAGGCTACAAGGAGATGATCAATACTGATGATTCTTTCAATTGCCATCACCAAAAGATGTGAGCTGGACTTTTATGAGCTCTTCTGTGAAAATGATTTCTCTTTCAGCTGTACCTCGAGCCCAGGTACTTCACAGTTTCTCAGAAGCACATCTTGGAAGCTAATTTTATGAAGTGTTATGAGTCATGCTAAAATTGCTACCCAGCTCAAATCCCTGAATCTCTTACCCAGATAGATTGGCTTCCTTTCTGAGCCAACAAATAGAAAAGAAGTTCACATTGTCACACAATTCCAGACAAGGCACAAGCTAAAGTTCTCCCCATTTGCCTTCTTCTTGGACAGCTGTGATAGAAAGCACAAAACTGAAAGGGTCCAATTAATTTTTTGGACATGCTTAACTGATGCTTTTATACCTCCAGACTGGGGGAATAGCTGAGCCTTTGAGATGTCAAAATGCAGTATCACTGGAAACTTTTAGTTGAGTTACTAGCCAGAATAAGAATAAAGGCTGGCATAGTTAATTACTAACATGGCTGTGTCATCCTTGCAGTGACTCGAAATACTTCAGAAATGACTAAGCCACTCTTCATTAACTGAAATTACTAATTAATTTTTGACATAGATGGGTAAAAAAGTAATAGCATGACCAGTGAAAAGATCACTGACATCCCACAAACAAAATACCATTAACAGCAAGTGAAAACACTGAGTTAGTGTATAACTAACAGTTTCATTGTAATTCTACATAAAGAAAATAGGACTAGTTTATGAGGGAAAAAAAAATTCACTATCCTGTTTCACAGTTTTCAACTAAAAAAAAAATTAAATCACCTGAACAGCAATTGCTATACATATGTGTAATATTAAAAACAGGTTTTATAACAAGCTTTTTAAAATCAGAGCCTCACTAAAAAAAATTTGTCTTTATCAATTTTATATAGTGTACATGCAAATAATCCATTTCCCTATGGAAAAAGAAAGTATTTGTAGATGTAAGAGAGACAGTTTCACAACAAAAATAGATACTAATGAGTAACATAACCAATGCTGAAAACAAAAGAGGAAGGGGTTTTGCAAAGGGAGTATACCTATATTATCTGAAGTTGAAAGTGTGACACCCCTGATGTCATGTACTATTAATAGTTGTCTTCAATGGAAACTATTTTAAAGGGGAATTACACTATTAAAAAATCATTTGTGATACCTTCATAAACCAAATGTTTTAAAAAGGAATCTCTATTCCATATATGTATTTATACAACCACACAATGCTAGAAATCAGATGTCAGTGCAGAAAAACACAGAGCTATGCAATATTTTGCATGCAGACAAGCTTTAATCAGTACAGCTACAAGAAAATCAGGACCACATCTTTTCCTGTTTAAATAACCCTATTGTTCTACAATTCTGACTTAGTATGCTAGTCACTCCCTGACAAACCAGGCTTGAAATCTTCATTAATCCCTTCAGCTAAAACATAAAACTTTATTATAAGGAGTTTTCTATTAGAGTGAAATAAATCAAGTTAAATTATTTTGAAAGAATAGTAGGTGCAATGTATAGAGCTTTTAATTTTACAGTAAAAAAAGGGAGTGGGATGGCACACTGTCTACCGAACATTTATGATTATGATCTCAAAATGAGTGGATTTGTCTCAGACACAAAGAGTGGTAGGTGACTTACACTCATCCTGTTCCTATGAACCAAACAAAATGCAATATTCATTAGACTTTGTTGGCACAGTGGACCATCTCCAAACATAATCATATGGTTTCCATAAGTTCTATTTCTTCTCCATCCATATTTTTTCCTGTGTTTATACTTTAAACTATCTTTTGGTATTTGATCCATACAGAACCGTGCTAGAAGGGAAAAAATAAAATAGAGCCTCAGCAGAAAACCATGAGAAGTCAGCCTGCTAGCCCAATGGGTGGGTTTCAGGTGCTTAGAAATTTCGGCTTAAAAATCCAGGCCGATGGCTTTGACAGTGTATTACTGGAATTCCAGGGCACCTTGTCTTCTTGGGACCTGAAAACATCAAAAGAAACAAAGTGTATTTGCCCCCAGAGCAAAACCTGCTGGTGGCAGAGCTCTACTACCAGCACCACCAGCAGCAGGCATTTTGCCACTGGCAACCAAACAGCTCTACAGAAATTTTTGCTTAGGCTAACTCCTTTCTATTCACTATGTGCATGAAGAACCAGCCTGCAAGAAGAAAACAAGCTAAGTTTCTATGAGCCTGCCATAAATGAGACATTGATGAGCTGCCAGTGAACAGCAGACATCCAGCCCAGGGCAGCCAGAGCAGCACCCTCAGGCCAGGGCACATCCTCAGCCACCTCCTTGCGCTCAGGACACAGGGAAGAGGCTACTGTCACACCCCCCCTTGACCTTTTCCTGTGACATGAGGCATGCCTCAACAACTTGCTTTGCTCTCATATTCATGTGTTACACAAACAGAAGTAGAGTTGCTCAGCTCTTATGGGCATCAGGTAACAGGTGAGACCCTCTAGCTGTGAAAAGAGTAATTTATAAAGCAGCATTGAAGGAACCATACTAAATACACATGAAAGAGGAGACACTGAATTATCCTCTTCTCCTGCCTTCTCTTAAAGTTAGCACACATTTTTAACAAGAGTATATAAAGATTTCTTGGGGATAACTTAAGGCTCAGATAAATTGATTTTCTATTAATTATGCTTATAGCTAACTTCAGCACATGGCATAGACATTCAATCAAGCACAG